CCCTCCCCCTCCCTTCCCCCTCCCCCTTCCCCTCTCCCTCTCTCTCCCCTCTCCCTCTTCCTCTCTCTCATCTGGAGATGATTTCATCATTGGTTAACTGGGCTACGTAATGAAGACATCAAGGACCCACATTCATTCTTTCAGCAATCAATTTATTGACCACTGCCTTCAGAGTTGCAAAATAGCTGCAGTTGCTCCAGGTGTTGTATTTGCATGTGATATCCAAGGGTAAGTAAATAGAGCCTGGAAAGCTTTCTGGAAACTCCAGACCATCCATTATATCTAACTGTTCAGAATAAAGTTACATTTCCATCCTTAAACCAAACACTAATGAGGAGGAATGGAATTCCCAGGATGGACTGAGACCAACTGAACCCTGCCCATGCTCATCACCAAGAAGGGAGGGGTAGTGGTGTGTGGTTTTTCCTGATTTATTTACAGAACACTGAAAATAAAAGCAAACAGCTTGGTACATAAGTGCCCATTAAATGCTATTATTGAATCTCTGTTTGTCCTACCAATGAGAATACGGATCTGGAAAGACTGCTTGTCAGAGCTAAAACTAAGACCTGATCAGTTCCAGAAACTATGTTTTCTCAATGTTTCAGCAGCCAAGAAGAAAATTTACAGGCACGAGACCAGGGATGACCTACAACATGATCAACTTTCTACTTTCCAGAAATGGCAGGATGCAGGAACACTTTAAAGCCCATCAAAGTAGATCCTGGAGCCCCTGGTGTCCCAGTCTCATACTTGCCTCTTCCAGGATGACATACCCAGTCTATCTCCAGCCAGTATGTTGAATAAAAGCTCTTGCACTGGCATTGAGGGAATCCTGTTTACCAAGGCTGACAGGTAGATACGGACTCCAAAGCATGGTGGTGGGGCTGGCCCAGCACTTGTGGGATAGGCAGGGCACTGGAAGGATGGATCAGCCACCTAGTGCAGAGTAGCAACTGGGATCGACAGCAGTCTTGAGCCCCAGCAGTGCTTTGAGAAACTCAAGGAACCAAGCTTCAGAGAACCATATCAGATAGCTAAGACAGCTTGGTACAACCCCCAGCTGTTTGACTTCCTCTTGCCCTTCGGTCCTGACAGGACCCCTTTAAATCCAGCTTGCAGTTGTCACATGCAAGTCCTTGCTTGGCCAGTTGCTGAGCCCATTCTCCTTGTCATATTCTGGAATTGACTAGAAAGGTCTGAGATACTGGGATTCAATTCACTCTCAACTTTTTTTTAAATGTTTGTTTGTTTGTTTGTTTGTTTTTGAGACATTACTTCTCTGTGTAGCCCTGGCTGTCCTGGCACTTACTCTGTAGACCAGGCTGACCTTGATCCTTGAACTCACAGAGATCTGCCTGCCTCTGCCTCTGCTGAGACTAAAGTCATCTGCCACCAACCCCTTGCTTTACTCTCAACTTCTTAGAGCCAGGAATCCAGAGCAAGCTCTAGCAACTAAAACATGGAGAGAAGGGGATGATCTAGTGGCATGATAGCGAGAGGTTTAGGGGGACATCGAGGGGCTAGAGCCAACATGGATGGAGATGACTTTGTCTTAGGAAGGGCAGGCACCTGAGAATTCAAACTTCAACACCAGAAGAGACTGAGTCTGGGAACTGAGAATATATACAAGTGTCAAAAACAGCACGAAGACACTGGCTTATGCACTTCTGCCCCTTAGGGAGAGGGTGAGATGTCACCCAGGTATTTTTCTGCTGTGTGTGGAGTGCTTGTGTGGGTGTATACATTTTTCTGCTTACTGCCTAGAAGGGACAGAGGCAAAGTTATGAAGTCTCTTCCCAGTGTCAGCCAAGGCTCAGGGTTTTACTTGTTCCCTCATCAAATATCCCCATGGGGTAGTGAAACCTCCATTTTACAGCAGCAAAGACAGGCTCAGTGAGGCTGAGAAATTAGCCCAGGGCCTCATGGTAAATAAACAATGTGTGGCCAAATTTCCAAGCCTGTGCCTGTCTTGCTGCTTCCTCCTCTGCCCCTCCTCCTCCTCCCCTCCTCCCCCTCCTCTTCCTCTTCTTCTTCCTCCCCTCCTCCCCCCTCCTCTTCCCCTTCTTCTTCCTCCTCCTCCTTTTCCTCCTCATCCTCCCTCCTCCTCTTCCTCCTCCTCTTCCTCTTCTTCCTCTTCTTTCTCCTCTTCTTCCTCCTCTTTCTCTTCTTCCTCCTCCCCTCCTCCCCACCTCCCTCCTCTTCTTTCTCCTCTTCCTCCTCCTTTTCTTCTCCCTCCCCATTTTCCTCCTCCTCTTCTTCCTCCTCTTCTTCCTCTTCCTCCTCTTCTTTCTCCTCCTACCCTTCCTCCTCCTCCTCCTCTTCTTCCTCCTCCTCTTTTCTTTTGGTTTTTCAAGACAGTGTTTCTCTGTATAGCCCTGGGGCTATCCTGGAACTCACTCTATAGACTAGGCTGACCTTGAACTTGAGATCCTTCTGCCTCTGCCTCTTGTGCTGGGATCATTATTGCCTGGTCCAGAATTAACTCTTAAAGGGAAACCTTTCTTGACTAGCAACAAGCAGGCACATGTGCACAGACACAAAGTTGGATCCAATGTGACTGCTTCTTCTTTGTTCTTTCTCACAATTGTAATTAAGCCATTAACTGGGTAATAGAATTTTCTTTTTCTTTTGTCTCTTGTCAGAATGTATTTATGCCAATCCATAAGGAATTACCATTTTTTGTGGG